CAAATATTCAGGTTATTCCTACTAAATACTACATCTTTATAACTGGACATTTCCTTGTCGTACTCTTTCTCTCATCTAGGTATCAACAAAATTTGTTAACGACTTGTCATTTTCTTAATTAGATCATAATCTGTGATATGATGGTATAATAATATTTAAAAATAGTGGAGACTTTAAATGTATTAATTTTCGAAAAATATGTAGTGTCCCATTATGAAGTCTATAATTATTTTCCCTAATAAGTACAATCCTTTTTTCAAATTTATTATTGGCTATTGACACCTTTTGTTTATCGTTGACTTGTGTATAATATTCATCACACTGCTTTTACAGTAAAGCCTAAATGTATTTACCATTGTAGTTTGTACAAATTAAAGTTTATTATTAAAGTAATTAAAGGTTTTAGATTCTTGAAGAGATGAAATAAAATGATTTGACTATATAACGAGGGACTAAAATTAAAAGGACGTATCAACTAAATTTGTGCTTTTTTGATTATTAGTGCATTTAACCAATGCTTGGGTATAGCTGGAATATTATAAAAAAAAATTCATTCATTTTTTTATTCATATGGAAATATTTTCTTTATTATAATAAAAGATTTGTATTAATAATATAATAACAATAAATTACACGAGTAACTCACATATGGATTATCTTATTAAGGTGTACTAAAATATAATAATCAACAATTCACGGACCATGCTGCTATTGAATGATAATAAATAAAAAACCGATAGTAAAGTGGGGACGTGGTATAGTTGGAACAAGTATAGATGATATTAGACAGTTGTTAAAATTCCTAACATAAGAAACGCTGCAAAGCAAATCTGTAGACAGTATTTAATTTTAAGAAATTGGTAGTTCATAGCAAATGCAACATTTTCACCAATTTCTTCGATTATATCATGATTAGTGGTAGTTAATTGATTTATACGTTTAAAATTTGAATAAAAACTTATTATAGTAATTAATTTCAGAATGATATTGATGTTCCATATTTTAATATTGTAATTTTTGCGGAGAAATTATAAACAATTATACAGTAAGTGTGTATTTCGTTACTTATATGACAATCGTGTATAAAAAATGAATGTCTTGTTGCAAAATTTTTCAGAAAATAATTTTTTAATCATTAAATAAATACACTGGTCACTGGAATTTTCATCAGAGTAAAAAATATGCTTTATAAAATTCATTTTTATACTGATTTCAAATATACAATTAATATTTTTATAAAAACAAACAAAATTTTTTTTAAAAATTAATGATATGAATTTGTAATATATTAAAAANTGAAAAAAAATTATATAATTAAATTTATTTTTTATAATTGCTAAATAGCAATATTGTATTTTCAAAGATTTTTTATTAAAATAATTATTATAAACCCATAAATTAAATTAATGTACAAAGTTTAGACTAATAAAAAAATTTAACGCATGAAAATTATCTCAGATACCTATTAAGGATTATTTCTCTATCTTCATTATAATCAATTATAGAGTCTTAATTATCGTCCTCTTCATTATTGATTTGTAATTCTAAAAAACAAATATTCAGGTTATTCCTACTAAATACTACATCTTTATAACTGGACATTTCCTTGTCGTACTCTTTCTCTCATCTAGGTATCAACAAAATTTGTTAACGACTTGTCATTTTCTTAATTAGATCATAATCTGTGATATGATGGTATAATAATATTTAAAAATAGTGGAGACTTTAAATGTATTAATTTTCGAAAAATATGTAGTGTCCCATTATGAAGTCTATAATTATTTTCCCTAATAAGTACAATCCTTTTTTCAAATTTATTATTGGCTATTGACACCTTTTGTTTATCGTTGACTTGTGTATAATATTCTTTCGTATAATAATGGTAAAACTTGAAAAACGAGATCCCACAGGTATAAATATCACAAAATTGTTAAACTTTAAATTGTGATAATGTAAGAAATGTATATGAGACAAATAATAATAATAAGGAAAAAATCATCAACAAAAATATAATAAATATATAGAATTAAAAATTTCACACCGATTTAAAACACAATTGATTAACTATTGTATTTCATATCGGTTAGTGTTTCATTTTATCTATGTAAATGATTATTGCGACCACCTATAAGTATTTTGTAGATATATCGTTAAATATTGATTATATGCGATATAATTTCTATGTATAAATATTTTTGACTTCATAAATAGTGTTAAAATTCAATTATTATTATATTATTGTGATGATCTCGGAATCCAATGTCAACCGTTGTCAGCGAACATAGAGACAGGTAGTAAACGGACTGGTTTACCAACCACCCAACAAAAGTTGGAGGGGATTGGTGCTCCCTGTCGCGCAGAGCAGCGCGTGAGGGCGACCAGCAGATTTTTTTAAGTTATAATAAAATTACTGTTTGTTTTGATTATTCACAAAATTAGTAAATTTGTTTTTTTTTTTGCATAGAATAAATTTGTCTGAAATAAACAAATTTATAAATAACACAATAGTATTAATTGAGGGTCAAGTTCTAAATAAAAACCAACTGTATGATTCCACCTGCGCGCAGCTGCGATAGGCATAATTCACTTGACCGAAAATAAATGATTCAGAAATGGTGTCGTTCGGGGTGCCGTAACCATATTTTAACCATTTTTCCGTCTTCTAGTAGGCGTTGTCGATATGCACTACAGTGGTCGGTATACGTCTAGGGCACTCGTGTAAGGAGAGTGCCCTAGACGTACAACTGTTATGTGTCGTCGGTACTCTGCGGATACCACAACACGTTTAAGGGCACTGGCGCCCTATTAACAGATTAAGCTACACGGCGTATCGCTTATAGTATTGTTTAACCAGCGTAGGCTACTCATGCAGACAGGTTATAACATTTGATATGTTTTACACAAGGTATATTATCACACTCTGTTTATGATATTTTATGATTAAAGTCCATTCACGTGTTTAACAACCGTATATTTATTACAATTTTACTATTGACCCTTTTTAAATTTTACTCGTTTTAATAATTGAATAATCACTACATTTTTGTTATATTGGTTGTAAAGTAATACTTATTGTGTAAAAACTAATCGTACCCGTCGTAGCCGGGTAGTTCAACGGGTATCTGTAATTTACTCGTAAGGACCCCAGGTATAGTATGGAACCCCAGATAGGCAGAGTTTAATTACCAATATTATTAAAAAAATTNGGATAATATGGAACCCCAGATAGGCAGAGTTTATTTATCAATATAATTGAAAAAATTAGTTATTCATTCACATTTAACTTATTACTAGTAATTTATGCTTACCTTCATAACCTAAATAAAGTAAATTTGTTCTTTTAATATATATTGCTAAAAAGTATTAAGACTTAATACTGCATTAAATTATTGATTATAAAGAGTGATCGGTTTATCATAAACCACTCGATTACACGCGAAATAAATATAATATTGGAAAAAAAAATTGCTTATTTTAGTTACGTATACATCTTAATTTATCGGCTAATAAATACTTTTTAGAATCATCCCTTAGAACTTAAATGTGTGTCAACTTTTACGAAAGTTTATAATTAAAAAAAGTTTTTACCATAACTTGTTTTAGCGTTTAACTTGCAAGTTAAACATTGACATTATTAAATAGAAAATTAATAATAAATTTAAAATAATATTGTTAAGATTGAAATGTGANTAATAATAAATTTAAAATAATATTGTTAAGATTGAAATGTGATCAGCAAATTTCATAATTTTTATTTACTATAAATTTATGAGAGAAGCTCAAAATTTTCTTTAAAATCACCATTTTTTTATTAAATTTTTATCGTAGTAAATTATTTTCGTCTAAGTAATCAATTTAATATAACTCTTGGTGTTTAATAAAATTCTACAATAGAAATAATCAGAACTTTATTCATTTTTTTAATTATTTAAAAATAACGAATAATATCTAGGTAAAAATGAAATTCAACAACAAATCAAAGGACGAAAAGATAGATGAAACTAGAACAGGTCCGACTTGGCCATAGCCTAACCTATTTAATATTATTTTCGTATAATAATGGTAAAACTTGAAAAACGAGATCCCACAGGTATAAATATCACAAAATTGTTAAACTTTAAATTGTGATCAGGGCCGGATTTGACGGAGGGTTTTAAGGGCACTTGCCCCGGGCAGCAGATGTTGGGGGCATCCGGATGCCGAATACTAAAAAAAAAATTTTTAACTTTTTAACCCTCGGCTTATGAAAAAATTAACTTAAAATAGAAATAAAAAGTAAATATTATTTTGTATTTATATAATTTGGTCTGCAAAATTAATATCGATATACGTCACATGATAACGACATTGGGGCATACTGCAAATACAATATAATACTTTAGTAAATTGGTATACGTTCGAGTAATTATGTCATTTATTATTTATAAATAAAGCGTGGTGGTAGTGCCCAGAAACCTCGGGTTTGATAAGACGTGACTTTGACTTCTACGAATCGCGATACCATATTATAATAGCGATTAGCGCAGGCCGTCCGTCATTGTATTATTTTATTTTCACGTATCTTGGTTATCCTTTTTATTATAAACATCTGAGTACCTATCAAAGTTGGAATAAAGGAATAAACACACTACAAACAGCTAATTCAAACGTTCAGTGTCCAGTTATCCAGTGTATAAAATAAAAATTACAGTTTTTAATATAATTATAATATGAAAGTATGAATGTAATGTATTGGTAAAATGCTTAATGATATTCAATTAAATTAGTCGATTTAGAATTTAAAGCGGGCCGTATTCAATTGCCACGCGGGCCGCCGGTTGCCGACCACTGGCTTATAGTATTGTTCAACCAGCGTAGGCTACTCATGCAGACAGGTTATAACATTTGATATGTTTTACACATGGTATATTATCACACTCTGTTTATGATATTTTATGATTAAAGTCCATTCACGTGTTTAAAAACCGTAAATTTATTACAATTTTACTATTGACCCTTTTTAAATTTTACTCGTTTTAATAATTGAATAATCACTACATTTTTGTTATATTGGTTGTAAAGTAATACTTATTGTGTAAAAACTAATCGTACCCGTCGTAGCCGGGTAGTTCAACGGGTATCTGTAATTTACTCGTAAGGACCCCAGGTATAGTATGGAACCCCAGTTAGGCAGAGTTTAATTATCAATATTATTAAAAAAATTAGTTATTCATTCACATTTAACTTATTACTAGTAATTTATGCTTACCTTCATAACCTAAATAAAGTAAATTTGTTCTTTTAATATATATTGCTAAAAAGTATTAAGACTTAATACTGCATTAAATTATTGATTATACAGAGTGATCGGTTTATCATAAACCACTCGATTACACGCGAAATAAATATAATATTGGAAAAAAAAATTGCTTTTTTTAGTTACGTATACATCTTAATTTATCGGCTAATAAATACTTTTTAGAATCATCCCTTAGAACTTAAATGTGTGTCAACATTATTTTTTTAAATGACAACAAACATATTTAACTAGCTTATAAAATAGAAAATAAACTAATTAAGACAATTTCTCGTCGATAACATGTTTTGAACCAGCATTTGTATTAATATTTTCATTTTTATAACTAAGCGGGACGAAGAGTATGACCGGGAAATGACTATTGATTGATAAAAGTAGCAGCACCCACTCTTCACCACCAGTCATTACTTTAAATTATTAACAACTTCCGAAATACTAGTCCGAAAATTGTAATCGAACAGTCATTTTCTTAATTAGATTATTTTTTATAGTATAACTAATTAAATATGCATATTGTCATTAAAAAAAAATAAAGTTGGTATGCCTTTAAATTATAGGCGATGATTCTAAAAAGTAATTATAATCTGATAAATCAAGAAATATATGTAACTAAAAGAAATTAAAATTTCTTTTTCCAATATTGTGTTTATTTTGAGAATAATCGAGTGGTTATGATAAACTGATCAAACTATATATCCATAATTGCGATTTTTATTACTTATTATTAATGGAATAAATTCCACATTTTGAGAATTATCTAGAAATACCAAAAAAAAAATATTTAATATGATATTTATAATGTTAATAATATTTTTGACTTATTGATATTAAATTATTATTATTATTATTACTTCATAAAGTTACAAAAAGTTTTAAATATGCAAAAAAATCATTGCCTATGAACACTTTTAAATGTAATTTGCACCAAAATTAAAATTGATTATTCATTTGATCGTAAATTTATGTTACTGTAGAAAAGAATAATATATTGAGATAGAATTTATTGGAAATGAGTCTAGAATTTTTGAAACGCCTAGAAAACAATGAATATATTACTATTTGTTATAATACTGAAACATTTTAAAAATGGTAAAAAATTAATTTTTTGTAATATTAATTAATAATAAGTAATGTAATAAGTTTTAATTTGTGTTATTGAGAAAAAAGATAAAAATATATCTGATTATTTTATTTAAAGATTATGTGATGAACTTTACTTTGAATGATTTCCTCTTCAGACCTTGAGCTATCTGGGACTGTCAAAGTAAAAAAATATATATCAATTTTTCAGAATTTATTAATATTTATAGATTATACCGAGAGGAAAAGTGAGACCAAAAAACGTTTAGTGATAACCATAGGAGCACTCGCGCCTCACCTCCAGTCATTATTTTAAATTAATAAAAACTTCTGAAATACTAGTCCGAAAATTTTTATCAACCAATATCAGTGATGTTATAAATGCTATAGTAGCTTCAGGATACCTACCATATGACTTCTCAGACCTAATATCACTAATTAATTATTGTTATAAAGAAATAATAAAACTTATCCTTGGTATGGATAAAAATGCCTACCATACTATATGGTGGAGAAGTAACATCAGCCAAAGACGAGGTACTAATGGAGTTACTTTTGGTCGTGATTATCTTATAAGTCTTTAATATGTATATACTACTAAAAAAAAATTCTTATTTCCTAAATTGCACTATTAATGCATCACATTGAACACATTAAATTATTTAACTATATAAATGTTCAACAGATTCAATTTAGTTTAAGTCTGAAATTTACAAGTGCGAGTGCTTAAGTAACGTTACGCCGGCACTCGGGGAAGAAAAACTGTTTTCTTGGGGTAAGGGAGGTTGTACAAAAGTTAATTTCGTTTATACGAAATTGTACATAAAATAATACATAATATTGAATATTTTTTTTCTTCAAATTCCTAATATGCCGGTGCCAGTGTAACACACTTCAAAAAGAAATAAATAAAAAAATTATCACTATTATTTTTATTTTTCGATTAATTGAGTTGGTCATAATTGTAAGTGAAACATCAAAGAAAAGCAAAGGCGTATTATTGAGGGTAGTATTGAGTTAGTGTAAATTTTTTTTAGTTCTGTAAGTAATTTTTAATAAAAACTTCGTTTATAATTTATTTAAATTACCATTACTACTATCGATACTACTTCGGCATATTGGACATGTACTTTTATCTTGTAACCATCTGTCTATACATCCTTTACAAAATTCATGTCCACATGTTGTCGTATGAATTGGTTCTCTTAATGTATTCGTACAAATAGGACAATCTACAAAATTATATAACAACATAAAAAGTAAAATATTACAATACCAATATTAAACATTTAAAAAAATTTAAAAAAAAAGGATTGCAGTGTAAAAAGTTACTGTTCTGCTTTTTTTTTTTATATATCATATACATAAATTAAAAATTAAAAATATTGTACATTTTTTTATTGGTTTCTTTTAGTTCAATGCATTTTTCCGTTTATCAATAATTAAGTATTTTTTATGTTCATCCCATATATGTAACACCTTATACCTTAAAAGGTGTTAATTTATTTTACTGAATGAAAACATACAAGTCGATTAACTGCCTCACGCAAAATCTTTAAAAATATTTTTATTTTTCTGTAATTATTTTATAATATTAATACAATTATTATGATTAGAATATTATTAACTATTGTGTATACCAGAGGCGTATTTGAGTGGGATATGGACGATTGCCCTCCTTTATTTTACTTAAAACTGCTATCATTTTTTTTAAAAACCTAACATTTGATATATTTTTTTCATAAATTTGTCCCACTACTTGCCCACAAGGGGAAATTTCGGACTTTAATAGTCTTCACGATGAAATTGACTACCGTATACTATTTTTTTGTTAAAATTCTCGATTTTATATATTACATTCTTTTTTAACACGCTTCTATTAGTTTCACGTGTATGTTGTTTGTTTGTTGTTTGTTTGTCGTTTGTCGTTTGTAAGTTTGTAACTCCACGCGGCACGTGTTATTATGTCGCGTATCCCGTCGTGTATGTCCTTGAGACTATACTGTTGTAATGCATTCGCCCCACCCCGCTCACCACTCGTAGACAACAATATTTTCTAACCCGTAGACGCGCGCGTGTCATCAATTATGTATATATATAACAAATTTTTATTGTAATTGACACGGCCCGCGTCGTTTCATTATACACAATGCCCCACGACTCGTGCCACCTTTATCAGCCGTCACCCTATTATGAGTATTTGACTGACCAACACCTTGCGTTATACGCCGCTGTGCAAAGTCCAGCAAGCGCCGCACGCCCGACGACATTCCGCCGCAAATGATACTNCTTCGGGCCGTCATCATAAGTAGGCCACTGATTCCGGTAGGGGTACCCAGCTACGCTGGGCACGATAAATTTTTTGCAGAAAAAGTATTACATCAGGATCAGTGTAACAAAAATATATTAAAAATATTATTATTAAAATCAGGAAAGTTCAAAAAGAGAATATAGTAAAATGTATTGGATATAAGGTTGACTTTGATAATGAGGTATTCAAAAATTATATTAGGAGGGTATTTAATTTTTTTGACTTTGTTAAACATGATGTAGAATATTTTTTGCTAAAAATTAAAGTAATGATGAAAAAAAAAGACATTAGGTCAACGAGCGTTTTTCTGGAAAACAGTCGAAATTATAAAACGCTCGCGGGCGAGCGGCAAAAATTTTCCGACCTTCGCCAATAATTTTCCTGGAGTTTGGTGGCCGAGTACTTTCGTTGAAAAAAAACATTTTGAAAATCTGAGCACGTTAAGTAATTTTCCCAGAAAAGCGTTTTTTCCCTTGTTCTATTATATAATAAGATAAATGTTTGTCGTATTAATTAGAAGGATTTTGTTATTATTTAGGCCACATGTGAAATTCTAATTATAGATTTGAAATCGGCGCAAAAATGGGTTAAGAAAAGTATACTTTGGTGTCAGATGAAAATTTCTTGCAGATCAGTAAATTTATTTATAAATAACAAACAATTTTTTTATTTTGAGAATTGCATCAAGCCCTACAAATTTTTATACACGTTTGCCATAAAACATATAAATACTTATAATTTTTTATAATTTCTCTGTAAAAATTACAATACTAAATTATTAAATATCAATTTCATACTCTATTTAATTGCTACAATAAATATATATTCATAAATTACACTTATACATCATAAAACTTGTAATCAGAATATAAATAAGGAAATAGGAGATCATGTAGCTTTTGGACTAATCCATTAATGTTTTTAAATTAAACACTATATAAAGATTTGCATCGTAGCGTTTTTTATGATATTGATTTTAATCAGTGTCAGATTAAATCTATACTAGATCCATCTATGCCACGTTTCCACTGTTACGAACCCGTATTATTATGTTATTTGTGTAGTGGGGTTAGTGAATAATTAGTAGTAAACAACGAATAGTTTTGATTAAGCATTAATTAATCGCGTTCAAGCAGTTGTATCAGTAATATTGTGCTATAACTTGTAAGTGATCACCTTAAGACGATTAATTCTATATCTTATAAATAATTGTATTTTTTAAAATGAAACAGACTATTTTATTTTTATGTTTAATTTAAGTGTGCTTTTATTTCACATTTAATGACATTCCACTTCAACACGTTACCGTGTCTCATCCTAGATGGGACACAACACCCCACTATGCTGTTTTTTTTTTTTTGATTATTACTGATTTATAGCAATAAATTTCTATAGCATTTTTATCAAAGTAAAAAAATAAAATACGGGCTAAGTAAACAAACGTCAACATCTTCTACTTAATCTTTTATAGGTCATTGAGGCCCATCACTGCTCTTTATAGTCTTCTACATTCTTCTCTGTGATTTGATAATTCCTCCGGATATCAACATAAAGTTCTAGATAAATTCTGGTTAGGTTCATCTATCCACCTTTTTTTCGGGCTGCCCAGTGGTCTCTTACCTTCTGCTTTCCAATTAAGCACATCCTTTATTATTTCATTCAATCTCTATACGATTCCAAGCCAGCTCATTTTTCTTTCTTTGAGAATCTGTATATTGTTCTCATGAGTTTTTTATTACCTTATTAGATCTTACATCATAATCACCTGCTTGATCCTTTTTTTAGGACCAAAAATGCATAATTACCAAATAAACGCCAACCTTATACTTTTAAATTTTAGTGTTTTCTCTTTTTGAATTTTATCAATTAAATTTTTAATATATTTTTGTTACACTGATTCTGATGTGATAATTTTCCTGTAAAACACTTATTATGCCCGCGCTTAGCCGGATTCTCCTATCGGAACAGTGACATACTTATGAGGAAGCCTTAAATAGGCGCGTATGGCCCCAAGTCTGAGACGGAGCTACGCGAAATCTAGTATAATGAAATATATTTATAAATTGAATTTAATTTAATCATATTTACATTAAATCTCTTAATTAAAAAAAAATTATTATCGTGAAAAACCTTAGTTGCTGTTTTTAAGCACACTTTTTATCATAGCTGCTAATAACGATCGAATCGGAAAGGATTCAGGAGATTTATTATATATAAGTAGCTGATACGGTCCCGCGACGTTTCTTGATACAAGAAGCCCCGCGACTCGTGCCACCTTTTTCAGCCTTCAGCCAACTATGAATATATGGTAGTTTACAGACTAACACCGCGTGCAATACGCCACGGTACAAAGTCCAGCAAGGACCGCACATCCGTCTACGACCAATATACATTGAGCGAGTTATCTTGGAGACACCGTACGATACGGACAGCCGATGCCCACGTTTGATCAACTCTTCCGTTCCAGAGTCAGTTTGTTCATTTGTTTTATGTTTGATTTTTGTGTAAACAAGTGTAATCATCTCTGTTCATTGGAGATATAAGAATATTAATTATTCCTGTGATAATCGTGATTATAATAAACGGCTTAACGCCACTTTCCTTTTCTTTACGAAAAACCCGGTATCGACTATTTTTTTTTTAACGACCCCCGTCGTATCAACTGGCTCCCCGGCGGGGAATCGAACGCTGGTCTCCCACGTGACAGGCGAGGATACTTACCACTATACTACCGAGGAGAGCAATTCTTATTATAAATATTTTATATTTTGGAAACATTATGCATGATATAACATTGTGTATTGTGCTGTAATATTAACTTAAATTTAGTAATTTTTTGCTTACCATTTAAAGGATTAGCACTATCATCTACAATTAAATATAGTACATTTGTTTTATTATTTTATATTTCTAAAAGTACTGAAATTTAAGAGTAATATTACTATAGTATTCTATTATATATTAGTATTAAGAAATTATAAATTGTATATCAATAATTCCCATTTTTATTACATTGACGGTTCATTCAAAATACACGGAATTTCACATTTATGCATAACTTGACACGGAATCGTTAAAAGTGTCAATAAACTTTTTTCCTTTTAAGGAAACCAAAAAAAAAAATACGTCTAAACAAATGATGTAGCGTAACTAGCCGAGAGAGAAAAAACACAAGAAAATGTTAAATAAGAAATATATATGTATATGAATATTTATTTATTTAAAATTAAACAGAATAGTAAAAACTGAGAACGAACACGCTAGTGCAATAGAAATATATATATATATAAAGTAACTTACAAGTAAAACGTTGCGAGAAATAGGCGCGTGGCGTTAGTTCACGTGGGACGTCGAAGGCAAGATAGAGCGTTCACCGCCGGCGCTCGGTGGTTGATCGCGCTCCAGTAGATAGACTTTTCTTCCTATCTAGATAGCCGGGTACTCTAATCAGGCTGGGCTCGCGATGTAAAAAGGCGGCTGATGGAAGAGACGAGGTGACCGTGTATTAAACGTATCGCAAAATATACGGTACCGTGTCAAACTAATAGTTCTTGATAATTATTTGTATAGTTATACAAATAAATAAGCTCGAGGATATAGGACACAGCTCCCATGATGTTCACAAAGGTTTTCTATCCCCTCTCATAACAAAATGATTTAACCGCCACTAAACTTTGTTAGGGCTCAGTGCTACGTAAAAACAAATAATTGTATTCCATATACATAAATAATTTAAATAATTATTATTTAAGGTATCTATGATGGTTTTTTTTTACTGTGCTGTAAATGAATTCCTTTTAAATATCATTTTAATCACTTTCAAACAATAATAGTTTCGTATCACTTCAAATATGTAGTTAATTGTGCACTAGTATTCAACCCTAAACTAAACGTATATTCAAGGTGTTCAAAAAAAAAGAAGAGATGAAAATGAGAGGTGACATATATTATATGTAAATGACCCAATTCGAATAATGTCAGTTCCATTAAAACAAAAATATAAGGGTATAAAGCGAGTTTTAGCTTATTATAATTACCATTAGTAGAACATTCAATAATTTCTTTCTTGGCACAATGACATACTGTAATATAACAAAATAAACATCAGTTTTTATAAATGCTACATCACCTAAACTTATTAACGACGTATAAAAAAAAATCAGTCTCTATAAATGGTTCTGTTAATAAATACTATACATATTAAAGGTTTTCATTGTTATATGCAACACCAAATATTAATACCTAAACTTAAATCCAAAATTCATCAAGTTTTAGATTAATATTAATCAGATTAAAGTATAAGTATTTGTAAATAGAAGCTTAGATAATTTAAAAAATATCAATTTTTCACATTATTAATCTGAATAATTACAATGTGGAATATTTATTATTATTTAAGTTATAATTATTGTTATAAATCCATTTTTCAACCGTTTGTAAAAATATAATTATGTTTGCGTTTTTCAAATTAGGGTTGTCTGTAGGATTTAACATTAACCCTTAAACAGTCACGCGGTGGTCTAGCATATCCCCACATAAATAAAAACGGATGTATTATATTGCATAAAAGGTGTACATAGATATAAATTTAGAAGATGGTTTTTATAGTAATATTGAATAGATTTTCATAAATAAATACCTTCGAAAAAAAACTGTATGACTTAAAATAACCATCAAATTTGAATTGGGTCATATTGACCCCCACGCGACTTGTAACGTTATAATTTTTTTTTCGACTTGTATTTTTTTCAAAATATTGTTTTATCGTAAATGCAATGTTATAATTGATATGATATTGTGGAATTAGGATTATGTGGATCTGCCACCGTCTGTGCAATTAAGTTTTAAAAATAAATAATCTATTGAGAATTTCTACTACTCGATGATACGGAACAAATACGAACTAAACATGTAATAAATACATCCCGTCGCAATGTGGACACATTGATTATCGGTGCCTCATTTACAATTACCACTATTCACATTTACCTCTCCTGACCCTACTCGTATTATAATAATTAAATTGTATTGTAATATTCATAATAAAAAAATTCAATTCAGAAAAATGATAAATGTAAATACACATAATACTAGTAAATATAAGCCATGTTTGAGCTCAAAGAAATACAATAAAAATACATTTTGTAATAGTAAAAGTTTTTATTTACCGTCTTTAAAATAAGATTATGCAGTTAAAATAATTTTTTTGACAAACCAAACATTTTTAATGAAATTTTGAAAATTAAGTTTTTTTTTTTTCGTAATATAATTTTTAGTAATGCACATAATTTTGTAATTAATTTATTTTTTAATTGTTATCCATACTTATATATCATATGGTAACAAATAATGTCTTTGAATTTAAAAAAATGAACTTTTTTATACATATTTTATACTTTTTTAGAAATGGGGTCTAATAGACCCCCACGCGACTATGAACGTTAAAAAAAGGTACGCGCCTGCTTAAGGGTTAATAATGGCTATAAGTTTTTCCGGACAGATTAAACATATTTTTATTTTAATAACATTTTATGTTTTTTTATTAAATATTTTCAGATAATTTTGTTTTACCAAAGCTATGTGTTCTAATTATGTCTAAAAAATATCACTTTTTTAGCTTCGATGCGAAGCTGAGAAGGTATTGGTTTTACTATAATGTGTTTTTTTTGTGTCTATTATAACTTTTTCTCAGCACTCACCGAACGGATTTCTTTCAACGATACGTCAAAAGATCAAAAATCGTATCTAGTCGAAGACACTACTCTAAAAAATTGAAAAAATTGACATCGTTCCCTGTAAATGGGGGAAACCTCCAAAAAAAAATACAAATTTAAAAATCGCTAATTTTTTCAATTTTTTTTACTAAAAACTGCCGTAACTTTTTCAAAAATGCACATATCAATTTATTTTTTTTGTTTTAGATGCTTGATGTCTTTACCTATCATTTGGTATATCTTTTTTGTAAATTTGACACTTAACCTGCCCACAGGGGGGAATTTAAAATGACAATGAAACTTTGACTTTTGAAAATGTTCCGGAAGGTCTGACACTTTTATATATATCTTAAATTAAAGCTAATGTAATGTCCTTTATTATAAAAAAAAAAAATTTGACCTCTGGAATGGTCTTCGTGGTGAAAATGGCTACCGAATGTTATTTTTGTGTGATAATTCTCAATTTAATTTTTTAAAATTTTTAACTTTATAATGCTATAATTTATTGAATAGTGTATAGATCAACACAATTTTTTTATGAGAAATAATATTTTTTAATAATCCCTTTTTAATTCGACATACTTTATCTTAATCAGGATATTAATAAGGAACTAGCAGATCATGTAGCTTTTAGAATAATATACCAATTTTTTAAAATTAAACACTATCTAAAGATTTGCATCGAAGCGTTTTTTTTTTGATAGTGATTATAATCACTGTCAGATATCATTATACTTGATCCAACTATGCCACGTCACTACTGTGCCGCGACCCTCCTGTGCTGGGTTTTTATTGTCTCTCATCATTATTAATAAAAAAACATGCACAAATTCAGGTATCTGTGTTTTTTTAAAGAAAAAATATGTTTTGTTTTATTTTTTAAAAGTATTGAATACTAAATATTCACCGAGTATGTAACTAAAAGAATTAAAATATTTATTTTCAATAATTATATTTAATTCATGAGTAATTAGTGAGTTATAATAAATGAAGTATCTATCGTGTAAAGATACTTACTTTCCATGTAAAATGAAATGAACACCGTAACAAAAAATATTGATAAAATATGAAATTTCTGAAACATATTTGAAAATTTTAAAGCTCTAAATTTGCTCTAAACTAAAAAACATGAAAAATTTATACTAATAAATGATCAAAGAAATATATGAACTACTTCAGTAGAAATAAAATTTTTGAATAATCTTTTTAAAACTATTTATTTTTAAGAGAACAATTTTACTATTAATTATTGATAAGTTAATTAAATTTTAAGAACTCACCATTGTTGTTTGATGTGATAAAAAAATTAATTATTAGATGTAATAAAATTTTGTAAAACAGTGATTATTTTTAAGGATTTTATATAAATATTATACGTTTTGATAAATAAGAAGTACTTCTAATAATAAATAAAATAAATATAGTTAGCAAAACATAATGAAATATGGAATCACATTATAGCATGATTTTTATACTATGTATACATCATTTGTATTTTTAGCATTGTAAAAATTACATAAATTATATTAGTTTATGATTTATGACTAGTAAATAACAAGTAGCAAATACATATTTAAAAAAAATTAATTTTTCAATTTTCAAGTTTTGTGAACACATTATACAGAATGATTTTTTTATCATAACCCACTCAATTACTTANAGGGTGATTTTTTTATCATAACCCACTCAATTACTTGCAGAATAATAATAATTTAAACATTTTTTTTTTTCATTATCTTTAGTTACACATTATTCTTGAATTTTTAACTATGTAATACTTTTTAAGTTCATCCCTTATGCCTTGTAAGGGGGTCAACTTTGTTTTTTTAAATAGTAACACATATTTTTAATTTAATAAAATGTTTGAGTTTTTAACTCAATAGTAAATGGCATTTGAATTTTTAATGAAACTTAATTTGTTTATTAGATATAAACATTTAAAGTTTCAAATTTTTGAGTTTATATACATATATAATACACGAGGGATTAAAAATACAGGTAGCTAATTGGTTTTTTATGAGATAGCTGTCACCGACACGGAGTGTTAATTGTCAATTTTGACTATCAATAGATGTACTTTCTGTATTGTCGGTTAGTGTATTTATAAACTCACAACAATGTACTTTACTATCATTGATAATAACAATGCTGTGTATCTGCTAATATCGATGTCATAAAAAATCAATTAGCTACCTGTATTTGTAATCCCTTATGTATTATACCTGTATATTAACTCTAAAATTTGTAACTCTAAATGTTTATATCTAATAAACAAATTAAGTTTCATTAAAAATTCAAATGCCATTTACTATTTGTTGGCGCTCGTTATCACGCGATTAAGCGATACCAATAATAATGATGGTCGCCGATCAATATAAGACCAGTTATGCTCGATATACGTACGCGCGCGCGGACAAATCGCCAGCTTACAATAAAATAATAATAAAAGATACAGTCCACAATTAATAAACATTCGTATTTATCAATTTATTTATTATACAGATTGAACCAGACGCAACATTTGGTCCATCGTGCCGCATGGATAAATTAATAAATAATTTGATTTTGTAAGTTTTGTCATCGCCGTGCTCGTCGTCGTACGTTTTTTATTTAAGTGCGTAAGTGTACCGTCTTAAGTGCGTTTCGTATTTTTTTATTACTTTATTTATCGTATAGTTCGCCATTCGCAATTAGTTCGAGATTCGTAAATGAATAGACTCGCTAGTTCTATTTCTCATCTCGTTCTATTTTTGGTGATACGGTAAAAACGCCCATAACTCGAGTAACGTGTGTTATAATAGGAACATCATTGGTTTTATTCCAAACCCTATATAGTACACTCGGATTTTAATGCAATAGAGCGCTATTGTAATCGCGTAATACAATTGACTATCTGAATAGATATCAACGTTATGGCAGAGCAAGTCCAGTTAAGCATTCGTCGTGGTCAGTTCAAAGGCCAACTATCACGATTTGTATTATTTGTTGAGAGAAAGAGTGGAGAAGAAAATATTGACACCAGTCAAATCATACTACGACGAGATAAAATATTGGAGGTGTGGCAAGATTATGAATCGGTACAAGCAGAAATAGAAGAACTTACGGGAATTACGGAAGAAACGGAAAAGTATAGAGAGGAGATGGAGAATATTTATTTTGGAGTCTTAGCCGAATGCGATAAACTTATAAAGAAACTATGTTCATCTGATCATATCAGCATTAATGATAGTTCCGTTCAAAATATTCAATCTATTCCTACTAAACCCAATACTATAAATAGTCAATTCGGTTCTTCTATAATCAAATTACCACCAATCGATCTACCTAAATTTTCAGGAGATTATTCTGAGTGGCAATCGTATTATGATATGTTTTCCACAGCGATCAACGAGAATAACAATCTCAATAATATGCAAAGGTTTTTTTATTTACGATCTTCATTAAGCGGAGAAGCTGCTAAGGTAATACAGTGTTTACCTACCACTTCTGACAATTATACAATCGCCTGGCAAACTCTAAAAGAGCGTTATAGTAATACTAAGTTGTTAGTTCAAGTGCATACTAAGTCGCTTTTCGATTTAAGTCCAATATACCAAGAAAGTGCTGAAGAAACTCGACGTTTTCATGATACGTTAGTGGGTCATATTAAAGCTCTAGAGAATCTTGGTCAAATGCCCGACTTGTGAGGGTCACTAATTATACTTTTAATTACATCTAAATTGGACGTACAAAGTTTGCGTAGCTGGGAAATCAAATCACCAAGGTTAGAGGTATCAACATTAAAAAATATTATTGTGTTTTTAGAATCGCGTTTTAGAATGCTAGAAGCTATTGAATCGTCTAGCAAATTACAATCTAATAATAATATACGCAGCTTCAGCAAGAAAAATTTTATTCAAAAAAGAAGTGATCGTAAAATAAATGTATTGTTTACAAGTGGCGGTAGCGTTACTTGTTATTATTGTAAACAATCGCACACTATTTATCGTTGTCCGTCGTTCTTAAAACTTACGGTAAATGAACGTATCAATAAAATTAAGCAATTAAACCATTGTATTATTTGTTTAAGAGCACATGCAGATGAACAAATATGTAAGGCCCGTCGTTGCGCTAAATGTGGACGCGGTCATAATAGTTTATTGCACGTAAATTCGAAGACAGATAATGTGGGCAACTCAGATAACGTAGAAAGTATTATTGACAATAAAGTGCCAGATAATACAACGCTACAACAGCCGATATTAACAAACGCGCACACTTATCAAGGCAATTACAACAGTAGCCGCAGGTCAGTACTGCTAGTTACTGCCGTAGTACATGCGTATAATAATAAAAATGAACCGGTAGTGTGCCGAGTATTGCTAAACTCCGGCTCACAAAACAATTTTATCACCGAGTCAATGGCCCATTATTTGAAATTGAAAAGAAAAAATGTAGAGTATTCTGTTTTTGGAATAAACGAATCACCGAATAATGTTAAACACCAGGTATCAGCGATTATTAAATCTCGCGTGTCAGATTTTAAAACAAACTTGAATTTTTTAACACTTCCCAAGCTGACCAGTCTCTTACCACAATCGGGTATTGATGCGAGGGAGTTAAAAATACCGTCAGATATTATTTTGGCCGATCCGCTGTTCGGCACACCACAAAGAATAGATATGCTGATTTGAGCTGAAATTTTCTTTANGCTGATTGGAGCTGAAATTTTCTTTGACTTAATGTATTCCGATCAAATAAAGACGGTTGAAAATGGTCCCGTTATACAAAAGACTGAGTTCGGTTGGATCGTGTCCGGTCCTATCTCAGCAAGCTTCACTACATCTATGCTCACAACTACTGTATTACCACACCAACAAGATGTAGTTGAAAATGATATAAACGCCCGAATTAATTTAGATGACCAGATAGCGAAATTTTGGCAATTAGAAGAGGTCAAAACTAAAAACATTTTAAGTTTAGATGAAAAGGCGTGCCAGTTGCATTTTGAAAATAATACCAAACGGAATGAAAACGGACGATTTGTTGTATCATCGCCGTTCAAGGACNAAACGGACGATTTGTTGTATCATTGCCGTTCAAGGATCATTCCCTACTAGGTGAATCGTATCAAATAGCTTTAAAACGGTTTTTATCATTAGAACGGCGACTGCAGACTAATATTGAACTCAAAAATCTTTATTCTAAATTTATAAACGAATATCTAGAACTAAATCATATGGAAAGAATTTTGAGATACGAAAGTACTAACAACACATATTATATACCACATCATGCAATTTATAAAGAGAGTAGCCATACAACTAAACTACGAGTGGTATTTGACGCTTCTTGTAAAACCGTCAACGGGGTAAGTCTTAATGACGTTTTATTTAAGGGTCCGTGTATACAAGAAGAACTCACCAAAATAATGATTAGATTTCGAACGCATAAATATGTTTTTTGTTCGGACATTGAAAAAATGTATAGGCAAATCTGGGCCTCTGAGAATCAAAGAGATTTCCAACGCATTTTATGGCGTGAAAATCCTGAACAACCTGTACAAGTATTTAGATTAAAAACAATCACATACGGGGTTGTGACTTCCTCATACTTAGCAACCGGGTGTCTAAGAATACTAGCCGAAGAAAAAGCTGATCATTATCCGGAAGCTTGTAGAGCGTTACATGAAAATTTTTATATGAATGATCTCTTAAGTGATTCAGATACTTTAGAAAGGACGGTCAAGTTAAGAGATGATTTAATATCAATCATGGAGAGTGCTGGTTTCAAGTTGAGACAATGGTGTAGCAATGAACCACTATTGTTAAGAAAATTACCTTTATATTTAAGGATAGTTGATGACGATGTAAAAGAGCCTAATAGAAATATTACTAAAATCCTTGGATTATATTGGAATCATGAGAATNGTAAAAGAGCCTAATAAAAATATTACTAAAATCCTTGGATTATATTGGAATCACGAGAACGATTGCTATCAATACAATATAAAACCAATAAAAATATCTGGTCGATTTACAAAAAGACTAGTTCTATCCGAAATATCGTCGCTATTCGATCCACTTGGATTAATCGCTCCAGTAATAATTAGGTTCAAGATGATTATGCAACAGTTATGGTTGCAAAAAATAAACTGGGATGACGTTTTACCTATTCCATTACAACAAGATTGGTCAAAAATGCGTGTGGAACTGGAGCAAATTAATAATATTAAATCTAGTTCTTGGCATCGAAAAAATTAAAAAACTAGAATTACACGCGTTCGCTGACGCAAGTATGCAAGCCTATGGTGCTTGTATATACACACGCACTACAGACATTTATGGTAAAGTAGTAATAAATTTATTGTGTGCAAAATCAAGAGTCGCGCCATTAAAAGTAGTTTCGTTACCTCGGCTCGAACTGTTAGCTGCGCTTTTGGC